GTAAGTTTTTCCATGGATCATGTGGACTCATCATGGACAGCAGTACTGAGTGTATTAGTATTACCGTATTTTCCCCAATGGCAATGTACAGGACCGGTACTTGCATTTTTCCAAGGTGGTCAGACCTTTACTACTACTAGGAGACTGCAGTCACTGCACTAGCACATGTAGTATTGGAGACGTGTACTTTTATTGTTGCTCAGGAAAAATAGATTGCCCGGTTGGGTGGTAGAAACACATCCATGTACATGTAAAGATGTAAACGGGTAAGAAAAACAAGTGAGGTGGACCCTGGTATCTGTACCCCTGTAATGCCCATCACATCATTCCGGCTTGTACTATTAATATTAGAGATGTGTCCTTTTATATTTCCTGCTCTACGCAACAATGTGAAGAAGAGGTTGGTGCGACTTCGGCGATAGTTGGGGAAGTGTGTGTTGCTCCCTACATGGGAGCTCGCGGTTTTCCTGCCGATTTGAATTCTCACTTGACTGACTCACGACTGCCATCCGGACCAGACCACACGAGAAGTCCATTGAACCGTCCACTCGGAAAACCTGCAAGAAAGCACCACTCCCTGCTCCCTGTGAAATACTGTACACATTGTTTCGGGGAATTCACCCCGGCTCATCAGTTGAGCTTGAGTAGGCTGAGGAAGATTGTGCCTGGCTGAAGAGCACCACTTATATAGTGCTCTCCAGGCACAAAAATCACCAGGGATACAAACTTACAGAGACGCTCCGTTTCCAGCGCGACAAACACCTCAAACATCAACAAGGGTTATACTGCTCTTGGATCGGGTCAGAAAGGAAGAAAGGCTGCACATATTCAATCTGCCGCTTAATCCGGTGCAATATTTTCCACTATTTTTGCTATACTTTGCTGGTGTAGTAGCTGACCATTGCCTGGACGGCTGGTGTACTGTCGGACAGACGGAGGACATGTCCGAATAGCTTCCATCGCAACATCTTGATGGTGTGACTGATCGGCTGGCTTTCACATCTGGTGTATAGTGCGTTGTTCGATATTGTTTGAGGCCACCTGATGCTATAAGCGACCTCAGTTGACGCCGATGGAAGGAGTCCAGTCGCTCCCGAGCTGTCTTGGTAACCGCCCACGTACCAGAGTTGTACAGCAGTACAGGGATGATGAAGGCTTGGTATAGCCGTAGGCGAAGCTTTTCGCTGACCTGCTGGCCTCGTTTCCAGAGGTTCCACAGGCCCCGAAAGGCAGCTGTCGCCAGTTGCTTCCTCCTCAGCACATCCTCGTCATCACCAATCAGACTTCCAAGTTTTCGTGTTGATCTCCATTCTTCTTTGTTACGACCATTGAGTCTAGTGATTTCTGTGTACTCCGTTTTGTCATGATTCATGTTGAGCTACCATTGCGCCAGGGTATAACTCGCCGTAGCTTCTAGCTGGGAGAGCCACCGCCGACTGGTGCTTACAAAATCTGCGTCGTCAGCATAGATTAGCTCAAGCTGCAGGTGAAGATCAGCATATGGGGTCTGGGAGCTGCTTCCTTTCTCAGTTGCCGTCACGCTGCTTCCAGATATACCGTAAATAGGACCGGTGACAAGGAGTCACCCTGCGGTGTGCCAATAGTTGTCGGAAATGTTGGTGATGACGTTTTACCAAGGCGGACATGGAGCGTTGTTCCCGAGAGTAGGTATTGTATCAGACGCAGTTCATCCTCGTTCACGACTTCCTGTAGTACACTCATCAGTTGGGCACGTCTGATAGTCTGATAGTATCAAATGCCTTTGATAGGTCAATTCCGAGGATGTGAATGTCCCAGTGAAAGCGTTGGGCTTTGGCAGCCAGCCATGTGTGCGCCCATACGACATCGGACGTTGACCGTCCACTCCGGAAGTCGCTATGGGTCTCAGCTAGAAACTCCTCCACTTTCGGTCTGATCCTTGCAAGGGTTATGAGCGATAGTGCTTTCCTGAGCGATGTAAGTAGCACTATGGGCCGGAGATTGGACGGTGGTCCAAGAGGTTTATTGGGCTTTTGAAGTGGGATGAGGATTCCTCCACCTACTTCCACTGACTGATGATGGCTAAATATACCATTGATAACTGAGGAAAGGGTAGAAGCCATGGCGTCTCATCCATACTTGAGCAATTCAGCTGGGGTATCATCTTCTCCAGATGCTCGTCCGTTGTTGAATTTCATCAGGCTTTTAGCAACTTCAGTGCAAGTAATTGGGTTTGACAGTGGCCACGGAGGGCCGTCAAATTGTGGAACTGCCTGTGCGCTGGAATTGTTGAGGGTATCGAAATGCTGTCCAATAGCGGCAGCAGCTTACTTTTCGTTGATGATGAATTTACCTGCTTTATCCGCAACCACAGGCTTTACAGCATTCCTCCTTCTCATGAGCTGGGCGGCTTTAAACATCTGCGCTCCCTCTTTGAGACGCTCTACTTCCTTCGCCGTGTCAGCACACCAGCCGTCCAGGCAATGGTCAGCTACTACACCAGCAAGGACCTCAAGGGCTGGAGAGGACGGCCGAGGACCAGCCTGCCGGGTACACTATCTGCTGACTTGGAGGCAACAGATGCCGGAAAGCTGAGTAGTCTGGAGGACTTGCACAGAATCAGGAAGATTGCAGCGGATAGGGCCGAGTAGCGAGCTCTGTGTCAACGGGTGACAGAAAAGGATCTGTAAGGGACGGATGACACTGCAATATCTGACTTCTTCTCAGCGGACATGTAACCTTGTATGTTTGGATGGTGCCTTTGTTGCTGATCCATCACACCATCACTCAATGCTCTCTACTTCATTGTTCACCCACCACTGACTTTATACTTCTGCGGCACCTTTGCCCCTTTTCTTCTGATTCGTGCTGTTTTGGTTCTGATACAGTGATCGTTTGATTTTTTTTCCCACAGCGTATCATTTGTTATCCTTCTGCCTTGTAGCACTATAAGACACAAGTCACATAACCGATTCGCCAGTGGCTGCTCTCCATTGCAGCTTTGACGCAGGGCTATGGCTGAATTATTATTATATTATTCTTTTATTCCACGATGGCGTGACGCCAATAAGGACGATTGATAAGTGTGATAGAACTGATACTAGTCAGAAACAGCTAGATGGAAATTAACCGGGGAGGCAAGAAGCAATTGATCATGAAAAACAAGCGGGGGCAAACACGTTTAATAGCAGGGGTGATCGAGGTGGTTAATTACAAGTTCGAGATATCAGAAACCAAGGGGGGGGGGGTGCGCGGAGCAGGAACAGGAACAGGTACTGCTCAAAAGAAGACTGGATGCATTGTTTCGGAAATAATTTCTATGACGTTGGGTTGTGATGTCGATAGGGAGTGAGTTGTAGAGGGTGAGGGCACTGTTGATGGGGGGAATCTCGGTGCCTGTTTGTGTGTGCGTGTCCGATGGAGTAGGTCCTTGTCTGTCGAAGGGTGTATGGTTGGTGTTGACGTTGTGGTGCAAGATGTGGTTGTTGCAGGTGTGGTGGGGAGGTTTGGTGGTGGATGTCCCATGCTAGTAGGACTTGTTTAACAAGGAGTCGTGAGCTAAGGGGTCAAAGGCCTTTGACAAGGTCCAGCATCAGACACTTGTCGAAGACCTATTCCAGCTTGGAATCTCCGGCACAGCCCTGAACTGGTTAAGCGACTACCTCTCAAATCGTCAACAACAAGTCGTCATCAGCGGCGATAGCAGCTCATCTTTCACATGCTCAAGTGGGGTTCCCCAAGGGTCTGTACTGGGACCACTATTGTTTGTTATATATGTCAGGGATGTGGCCAGTGAAGTGGATCAGTTTGCCGTCCAGGTAACCCAATTCGCGGACGACATCATGCTACACGATAGCAGGAAGGACAAGGTAGTGCTGTCACACAACCTGTCTTCAGCCATCACCCATCTCAGCAACTGGCTTGGTGAGCGCAACCTAATCCTGAATAGTCGAAAAACACAAATATTGTTTATTCCTGCCAATCGTCACGACGACAAGACATTGAATGTGCACTGTGCAGCTACACTCCTCCAGCAAGTGACAAGCGCCAAGTACCTGGGCTTGCACATCGATGACGACCTGAAATGGAACACAATGGTTGACCATATAGCCAAGACAGTGTCCTCAAAGATTGCCATTCTCTTCCGCCACAGGCAGTGCCTCCCAATGCCATGCCGCTCAACCTACTTGAGATGTATAAATTTACCCACATTCCAATACGCATGCAACAGCTTTTCCTCTTCCCTTTCCTCTGCACAACGTGATCGTCTTGAGAAACTTCTCAAGCGAGCTGTGCGTGTTGTCTGCTCTGCTCCCTTCCTGTCTGCAACTGCCCCTCTTTTTGAACGCCTCAGCATTCAACCCCTGCAATCAATGTATTGCCGCAAACTCCTCCTGCTAACCTTTCGTGTAATTCATAATAACTGTAGTGTGCTTCTTCATGACCTCGTCACACCTCTGTCACACACCCGTCGAACGAGGAGCACAGATGTTCCCCTGCTTCTTTTCCCGAGGATCATATCTGCCGCTGCCACACGCAGCCCTTCATATCAATGTCCCGCTCTCTGGAATAAGTTGCCTGCATCTATACGATCACTGAAGAAACCAGGTCAATTCCGGACCGCTCTTTTACCCCACCTGAACAATTCACCACTGATCAAATAATTATGCAATGTTTCCTCTGCTAGCTAGCTGCTGTCTTAATTTAAATCCTACTCTTTTTTTTCTTTTTAATCTTTTCCTCACATTTGTGTGCCTGTAACTTTAGTCGATCTCATGTAATAAGGCAACACTGCCTGTTTGTTATTCGACGTTAAATAAACCAATCCAATCCAAGGGTGGGAAGCTTTGCGTGATGGAGGAGGGAACTGTGGTGAACTGGTGCAAAGAGGGGAATCCGAAGGCAGATGCGTACAGCACGGCGTTGAATTCTCTCCAGTGTGTCCCGCTGTTGCTGCGTGGTGTTGGAGAGGGCAAGGCTGCCATATTCGAGAACGGGTCGGATGTAGGTCGTGTATATTAATAATAGGCTGGAAGCGTTCATTGTGCCACGTGTCTTGTGGAGTTGGTGTAGTAGTTTTTTGGCTTTGTTGGTAGTTTCTATGATGTGTTGGGTCCATCGCACATCGTCTTGGAGTGTAACACCGAGGTGCCTATGTTGGTGGACCTGCTACAGCAGAGTGAAGTGGAGCGTAATGTGGATGGTGTGGTGGGGTTGGAAGGAAAGGACGACGGTTTTCGTGGTGTTGACGAGGAGATGTCAATCCTTCAACCATCGTCCTGCTGCATCCTTATAGTGAAAAGTGTACATCATGTATATCATAATACTATCCCGGCATTATTCAAGCTGTCACTGCATTGATTCTGTGAATAATCTTTTCATTTGAAACAGCAGATATTAGGCTGATCTTGGATCCAGATCCCTTCCATTTGCGGTCAGTAGGCACCGGCGGGTTATGCCGGCATAATTGTTGGCATAATTAATTTTAGCGCTACGGAGATGTGTTGAAGCTAGGCTCCGGCGGATTATGCTCGCGAAATCATGGAATTATGCTTTCATGGATTCTCGCATTATGCTCGCAAAAGCATCATAATTAAATATGCTTTGGGATACATGTACATATTCACTTTGGTGTACTTATGGAGCCCCCAAGTTCGGAAAATCGTGCCTTTTTCGTGCTTGCAAGTGGCCATAAGTACATGTACAACAAAATGTTACACGAGTATCCCCATTCCAAGGTGTCCATGCATGCTAGAGATCAACATGGAAAGGGAAAAAAATACTTCTATATTCATTAGTTGACTTCTTTTGTACTTCAGTAAAAGGTTGTTTCATTGCCGAATTAGTTTGATTTACCTTTGAAAATTCAGTTATCATGTTCAACTGTCTTCATAATCGTCATACTCGTCCAACTGATGTCACCCTCACCCTGGGAATAATCAGCTCATCTCTCCCGTAGCTCCACCCCTCCTTCCATCATGACCGAACATCAACTATACCTCAATTTTTTTAAAAATTATTAGAGCAACATCCATAGCCTACACAGTCATGGCTAAAATCCAGAGCCAGGTCATGACTTCGTAACATGCAACATGTACGCGGACTACCCCTCTACTTTTTTCTTTTTTTATCTCGTCCGCCTCAGGATATCTGATAAAGGCTGATTCACTCAGCATCTTTTGCTACATGAACGGTATCAGTATGAGAAAGAACAGTTTGAAGAAGGCGAGTTCGAGCACACAATAATGTATCAGCGCCATAATTTCTACCCTGCTTTTCCGACATTGAAAACACAATCTGCATGACCGGCCCATAAATAAGTACAAGTACATGTACAACGTAATACATGAGTATCCCCATACCAAGGTATCCATGCATGCTAGAGATCAACATGGAAAAGAGAAAACATTACTTCTTCTATTCTTTAGTTGACTTCTTTCGTATAAAGATTTTTCATTGCCAAATTAGTTTGAGTTACCTTTGAAAATTATCATGTTCAGGAACTGTCTTCGTAATCGTCATACTCGTCCAACCGATGTCGAGTAATAAGCTCATTTCTCCCGTAGCTCCACCTCTCCTTCCAACATGACCGAACATCAACTACACGTATACCTCAATTTTTTTTAAATTATTAGAGCAACTTCATGGCTGCCAAAATCGAGAGGTCATAATTATGACTTTGTAATAGGCATTGGCGGATAATGCTCGAAAAGGTGGCAGATTCTGCTCGAAAAGCAATGAAATTGGCAGAACCATAAAACCTTATGGCGGGCAATTCCTCAAATTCTGCTCCATTTCTTTATCCACATACCAAACATGCATGAAACTTACCAGAAAAAGTACCGAATTCTGCCAATTTTTCTGCCGGCATTATCCGCATATGCCTACTTCGTAACATGCAAATGTAGACTCTACATCATGTACGCGAAGTTTTGCGGACTACCCGTTAGGCATACATGTATGCGGATAATGCCGGCAGAAAAATTGGCAGAATTCAGTACTTTTTCTGGTAAGTTTCATGCATGTTTGGTATAAAAATAAAAATAAAATTCACGGTTCGCGTGAGACTCGGCTGGAAGCCGGGTTTTCCGCATCCGTAGGAACGCCACCACCCTTCAAGGATCAAGGCGCAGATGAAGCGGTGGGAGGTGAGTAGATCAGCTCACCAGCAAGTGGTCAAAGACCGAAAATCCCATTCACTGCATCCATGTTTTCCTCGTGCCAGGCCACGAGTTCCCAATTAACTGTGGGTCGCAGCACGGCTGGAAAAAATCCTTCCACTTCCAAGCAGGACTTGAACCTGGTACCCTCTGTTTCTCAATCATGGTCTTAGACCATCCCACTATGCCTGCCATTTCTTTATCCATATACCATGTTTGGTATATGGATAAAGAAATGGAGCAGAATTCGAGGAATTGCCCGCCATAAGGTTTGTATGGTTCTGCCAATTTCACTGCTTTTCGAGCAGAATCTGCTACCTTTTCGAGCATTATCCGCCAATGCCTACTACCCGTCATTATCTCGTCTGCCCCAGGATACCTGATAAAGGCTGATTCACTCGCATCTTCTGCTACATGTACTGTATCAGTGTGAGAAAGAACGTTACTTTGAAGAAGACGAGTTCGAGCATACAACAGTGTGTTGCCATGAT